AGTGCTTGCCCTACAGTACCACTAGAACACCTTACGGGGGAGAAGAGAAAAACTGGTAACTATTTACAGTATATTGTCTGAAGTCTAGGCTTTAGCTTTTTAAGAAAGCCTCTGGGTTTTTTGTTTCTTTGGAAAGAGAATAAATATAAAACTGACTACATATCAGAAAAAAGAAGTATCATAGAATATAGTAAGAATTATTGCCATATGACTAGTTTTGACAGCAAACACTATGTATCAAGCAGTTAGAAGTTTGGAGAGCAAATATATCAGAATTCTCCCTTTAAAGAATGTAGTATTTGTGATGGGATAGTACTTAACATTTGTTGAATACCTACTATATGTTAGCACTGTTCTAAGTAGTCACATTTATTAAACTCACAACAACCTATGAAAATAAATATATTGGTAAAACCTTGTAACATTATCAATATCCAATATTTTTTTTTTACTTTCAAAATGCAATTTTCTATGACCCAACATAATTCTATAATTTTATCCCTATGTTACGGTGGTGCTGTGGGTTAATGCACCAGACTGCAAAGCCATTTGAACTGCAAGGTTGGCAGAACCTACTTAATGGTACTTCACAACAACAACATATTACAGATGAGGAAACTGTAGAACTTACAGAAAATTTTTAAATCTCCCCTAGTACAGCTGCTGGTTAGCAAGTGACAGAACTAACTTAACAACTTCACTCTTTCAGGGAAGAAGCCTCTACCCTTGTTTAGGGTAATGGTGACTGTACTGTGGAGCCAGTTCTGATTCATAGCCAGCCTATATTGTATACTGTGGAGCCAGTTCTGATTCATAGCCAGCCTCCACTGTGTACTGTGGAGCCAGTTCTGACTCATAGTCAGCCTCCACTGTGTACTGTGGAGCCAGTTCTGATTCATTTACAGCCTGTATTGGGTTTCTAAGGCTATAAACCTTTACAAGAGCAGAATGTCTTTTTTCTCCCATAGAACAACTGGTGGATTCAAACTGCTAACCTTACAGTTAGCAACCCAGCTCATAATCCACTATACTATCAGGGAGTAGAATTTACAGATTAAAATGAGCTGCATACAATTCTGTCTCTTAGACATTGAAAAATAGGACAACGTTGTTTCCACATATGTACTCTACCTGTCCCACATATTTTAATATTTATACTACATTTGCCAATAATGTACACAAATACTATTTCCATGCAGCAGCAATATATAGAAGTGATTACCCAAGTTTGAAGGTTAATAGCAATCCATCCAGCTGGAGACCATGATACTATGTGAGGATCACTGGTTCGAATCCAGCCACTGCTGCCACTATGTTGTTGGGAACCTCAGACAAGTGAGAGCTTCTTGAATTATGTTACATTCTCTGTACACGTAACGGCCAACCTTGTATTCTAAATTTTGTGAAAGATTTACAAAACAGGCCAGCTAGTACAAATTTAGTTTAAAATCAAGCCCTTTTAAACTTGCAAAGAATATAAAATTTATTTTATCTTTGAAAATCAGATGCACTTGTTATGTATTTATTATTTATGTATATTTTCTAATAAATATAGTGGCACTGGTGGTAGTTTCGTGCTGTGGAGTCAGTTATGACTTACAGTGACCCTCTATAGGGTTTCCAAGGCTGTCAAACTTTATGGAAGCAGAAAGCCTGACTAGAACATTTTTCTGTCCGTCCTTGAACAAATTATAGTGCCCTGGAAATACCAGATTAGAATCAAAAGACATGCCTTCTCTATCTTGTTGTTGTTAAGTGCCATCGAGTTGGTGCCAACTCATAGTGACCCTTGTGTAGGGTTTCTGAGGAAAGCCTGGTGAGTTTGAACTGCCAACCTTGTGGTTCAAATGAACCTACAGCACCACAACAGACTAGGTAGGATTCTTGTCAGCTATTAAATGGTCATACAACACTGAATCAGATGTTATTTTCTCTTTGATATTTTTACCTCTAAAAAAACTGAATGGAATTAAATGGCTCTAACCCAAACAGCTAATCATTTGAATTTGATACATTCCTGTCAACATTTTTATGTTTCAACTTTTCCATTTATTAAAATGTCTCCAGATTTTAGAAAAGAGAGAAAGAAAATTGTTAACAGATTCTTGATCTTTTAAAAAAAAAAGGAAAAGGCTACACTTACAGTGTCTTTTGATATTTAGATTCACACATATCAGAGTTACTAAGAATTCTGCTCAGCCAATTCTTTGTCATCTACTGCCTTGGAGTCTATTCTGCTTCATAGGGACCTTGTATAGGGTTTCTGAGGCTGCAAATATTTACAGGTACAGAAAGGTTCATCTTTCTCCTGAGGGGCAGGTGGTGGGTTTGAACTACCAACCTTGTGGTTAGCAGTCCAGTGCTTGCCCTACAGTACCACTAGAACACCTTACAATCTGTTACAGTCCCTCTTAAATTCCATAAGAAGTTACTGAGTTTCTTTTATTAAGAACTATTGTAAATATATATATATATATCCTGAGTGGTACATGATAAATAATACATAATGTGGTGGATCCAAAGATGAGCAATGGATGGTGAACCACAAGGTTTGTGGTTCCATGCCACCAGCCACTCCTTGTGGGAAGATGAGGCTTTCTGTTCCTGCAAAGATGTGAAGCCTCAGAAACCCTACATAGAATCTCTATGAATCAGAACTGACTTGATGGCACTTAATAACAAAATTACTTATGGAGTCCTGGTGTGGCACTATAGGATAAGTACTGAGTTGCTAACCAAAAGATTAGTGTTTCACACCCACCAGTTGCTCCTTGGAAACCCAATGCAAAGTCACTATGAGTTGAAACTGACTCATCGGCACTGAACAACAACAAGAGCACACATGTTTATGCTGTGAGATAATATTATTGTGTGCTGTGTATATATTCTTGTATGTCTTCATTTTTTAAATGATAAATATGGTTTTCAGCTTAAACACCCTTACCGTAATATTTTAATTATCTAATGGAATTTTCCCTTAATATAGAGTTTGCTAATGTGGAAAGAAGCATTTGGGGAACAAATAAAAATTATTCAGTGATAATTGGTTTTAGAAAAGCAATAGGGATTCTATCATCAGTTTAGCAATCTCAATGCAGTCAGTGTAAGGAGTGCAACAGCATAATATTTTCATTATTTCATTATGACTTGGTTCCTAATTCTTCCAGAAGGAAGTCCTTTACACTCTGAATTAAGCAATAGGCAAAATATCCTGAAGATAAGAAACTTAAATTGACTTTTGCCAACAAAGTGCAGAGTGTGAAGGAGGTCAACAGGAAAGCAAAACAGAACTCGTATGATGTAGAGCAATACTCAGGATTCTAAGGGTAAAGGAGAGACTAGGAGTCTTGCCACAATTCTGCTATTATTTGCTTGTGCTAACTCTGGGTCAGGAACTTGATTTCTCAGAGATTCCTTGTCCTATATTTTTGTGTTGTTGTGTGACATCCAGTCATTTCCAACATATAGTGACCCTGTACTGGGTTTCAGAAGAGTGACTGGTGGACGTGAACCGCTAACTTTGTGATTAGTAGTCCAGTGCTTATCCTACAGCACCACACAGGACTCCATTATACTAGAAAGTGTGATAATGTCCAATTTTCTTTCCAGATTCATCATTCTATGAATTGATATTTCCAGGTGAAGGAAGCAAATAGTTCAGATTGTTTTTGTATTCTTGGGTTTCTTTATGCTCATTTTCTGTGAAATAGTTTTCTTCCTCTTCCCTCTAGCACACGAAGATAAATTGGAACTCTTCATTTTGGGCATTCTTCCCAAGGTGCTTCATTGGAATGCTGCCTTGTACAAAATCGCCTTTGTTTACATTAGTTTCTATAGCTCCATAGATTCCAATTCAGAGAATTAAACAGTGCAAGGTAACTCTTGTATAGCATAGATAGTGAAATTGACCCTGTGGAATTTGTTGACTTTCTACTTTGTCCCTCAGCTTCTAAAGTCAGGAACCATTTTTTTAATCTTGGGTTTTCTAACTCTGTCGTTGATTTCCCCCCCCCCCCCCCCCTGCTTACAGATCTTCAGTATAAGTGGCATCAGCAATTTTTAGAGGATTCCACAAAGGGATAATAACAGGACAACTTTCTTTATCTTGTCTTTTCCTTAAAAGTAGTAAATCAAGGTGATAGAATAAAGATATTATAATTTTTTAAAACATGGATTATTAGGTTGCTGCAAATAAATTGAGGGATATGTAGGCCATATTCAGAAGGATTTTTAAGGAAGGAAGTCAAAATTGTATTTTTCATGCCAAAGAGTTGATTTTCTTAATAAAATAAAGGCAATATCCCTAAATTTTCTAACCTTAGAATAAAAGGAAAAACATCTAATTCCACTCATTTTTTCTCTGTGTTTTTCTGTTTCATCAAACCAACTTACTTAGGGACAGAAGAGAAATTAATGTTCAACCCGATAAGAACTCTTTGGAGCAGCTTTAATAAAATGTGCTTTAAAAATGTTATTATTGACTGTTATACAATATTGCCATCATGCCACACTACAGCTTGCCAATAGTTAGTCTTAAAACCAACCGGACTTGTGTGCAGTACCACACACTAATTCTCTTTGTAAAAGATTAACCAAAATACACTGCTATACTAATTTTTTTAAAAAAACATTTCTGTGGCTACTGTGTGTCAGAGTTGCAAAAGTTTTCATGAAGTACTTGAGTTTGGTCCTTTTATTTGACTAACTAAAGGTTATAAACAAGCTCTCATAAGTGCCTGTATTTACTACACAGAAATAATCCAAATTTGTTTTCTGTTTCATAGGAAGCTGTCCTTGAAGAAGGTACAATTGCTTTTGCTAATTGGGTTAAAACAGGCAGTGACGTTTACAGGCAGTTTTGGATCTTTGATGTGCTAAATCCACAGGACGTAATAACGAACAGCGCTAACATTAAGGTTAAGCAAAAAGGTCCTTACACATACCGGTGAGTGAGTCTAAGTGACATCTTTTCTGGACCACGTGTATTTCTGCAAACGCTTCCATTTAGTAACTGTCGTTTTATTAAACTATACTTACCATTTGATTGCCTGTGATATACATTAAATGATTATTTTGTGTCTGTGTTGAATATTAAAGATTATGAATCTTTAAATCAATTTTATAAGTAATTGAATTTTAGAAATAATGATCATAAAATGTTTCAGATTTTAAATAAATTAATAGCATACATATATATATGTTAAGTGCAGTGGAGTCTGTTCCAACTCATAGAGACTCTGTATAGGGTTTCCGAGTAGTAGCTAGTGAGTTTGAACTCTGAGCTTGACCTTCTAACCGATTTTGAAGTCCAGTGCGTTATTCCGCAGTGCCGCACCCGGACTCCATCATATATCTTATTGTTAGTGCTGTTGTTGCTATATGCCGTGGAGTCGGTTCCGACTCATAGCGACCCTGTACAGGGTTTCCAAGGCTGTAAATCCAAAGCAGAAAGCCTCATCTTATTCCCTCGGAACAGCTGGTAGTTTCGAACTGCTGACCTTGGGGTTCACAACCCGATTCGTAACCACTACGATACCAGAGCTCCTTGTAGGCAGGGATGGGAAGTCATTTTCTGGCAAAATTTATGACATCATTTGCTGACCATACAAACTTATAAACTTAAAAATTAGCCTGCTATATTTGACCAAACATTTAATTGACTCACCCATAATGGAGGCCTGGTGTGGCGCTGCGAGATAACGAGCTGGATCGCAAGGTCGGTTTGAGACGCAAGGTCGGTTGTTCATACTCGCCAGCGACTTCGCGGAAACCTTATACAAGGTCACTACAAGTTGGAAGTGACTTGATGGCCCTTAAAAACAACAACAATTGAATAGCTGAAATGGCTTCAAAGGGCCACACCACCTGCTGTATAGGGTTTCTCAGGTGCAGCTGGTGGATTTGAACTACAGACCTTGCAGTTTACAGTCCACTGCTGTTTCTACAGCACCACATCAGTAATACATATAATAACATATACACCAACTGCTCCTAGGAAACCCTATACAGAGTTGCTATGGTTCAGAATTGACTTGAGGGTACATAACAACAGCAACAGCAGCAATTTATGTGTGTGTGTGTGTTATTGTTGTTGTTACATGGGGTGGAGTTGATTACGACTCATAGTAATGCTGTATAGGGCTTCCAACGAGCAGCTTGTGGGTTTGAACTGTCGACCTAGTGATTTGCAGCCTAGTGCTGATCCTAAAGTGCTACACCAGGAGTCCATATATGATTCTTTAGGATCAGCATTGGTCAGAAGGTTGGTTTGAATCGCTAGGTCAGTGGTTTAAACTCACTAGCTGCTCCTGGGAAACCCTACACAGGGTTACTATTTGTCAGAACCTACTCGATGGCACTTAACAACAACAGATATATCTATATATACTGAAAAGTAGACTTCGTTTATCCAGATAGTCATTATTAGTAGATAGAGTAGTGTTGTTGTTGTGATGTGCCAACTCATAGCGACCCTGTACAGGGTTTCCAGGCTGTAAATCTTTACGGGAGCAGAAAACCTCATCTTTCTCCTGCAGAGCAGCTGGTAGTTTTGAACTGCTGACCCTGAGGTTCGCAGCCTGATTCGTAACCACTACGCTACCAGAGATCCTTAGATAGAGTAAAGAAAGGGAATATGATTTTATTATAAATTGCTGGCATCAAATCGCTTTCTTATCTTAAAAAATTATAAATTTTTCCGTTGTGGCATGCATTTCCACATATCCACGAATTTACCAAAGAAGGTTTAGTCTTCATTATTATATAAGAAATTATAATTTGATACATATTAATTTGTTCCATGGTGCGGTTTCTTCAGTTACTAGCAAACCTTATCTGTATCGTCTGTTCCAAAAGAATATTACAGCTGTAAACTGTTCTTCTGAAATTTTAGAATTCATGTGATAAACTAAGCACAATTGTTTGTTTGTTTTTTTATTAAAAAGCCTGAGGCAACTGTGTAAGTGGAAGGAAAGAAAATGGTTATTCAAATTTGGGATCATGTCTTATGTTGTTTAGAAAAAGTTTATGTATTTTACTTTTAAGGACATTTATTTGTGAGATGGGGAATTGATTTATTAAAATGAGGCTTTCTGTTTTCATAAAGATTTATACCCAGAAACCCCATACAAGGTCGCTATGAGTTGGAACCAACTTGACGTACACCACCACCACCATCACTATCTATCTATCTATCTATCTATCTATCTATCTATCTATCTATCTATCTATCTATCTATCTGTCTATATCATTGCTGGATCTAGACCTCTCCAAATACCGATCACTTTTGTACACAAGATATGTGACAACTATTATTTATATTCTTAGAGCCTTTAAACACATCTCTTTAAAGAACACAACAACAAAAATGCAACGGAGTGTGGCTATATTTGATATGCTTGAAGAGTAATAAAGTGTTGAGAAGAGAGCTGGATTTATAGTTAAAGTTAGTAAATAGTTACCGTCTCCTTATAAACCATTGTTAAAGGGCTTTCTGACCCAGAAAAGATCCTTTTGTCTCCTGATGTAACCAAAATGGAATCTTTGTCTTTCTCTGGATGCCTTAAACAAGCAATAGCCTTTTAGAAAACAAGGATCTTAAGATGAGAGTCTTCTTGTATTAAGTTGAAAGTGCTTCTGTGAATCCAACTGAATTTGAAAATGTCGAAGCTGTCCCTCAGAACTCAAACAGATCCACAGCCATAATAAGAGTTCATTGGAACTTTGATATACAGAATAGTAACTTCTGACAAACTATGACGTTGACTAGTTCATCTTCATGAAGAGCATATTTCTTCAAAATATTCTCCTATCAATACAAATCAAAATTTCAAGTTACTTTGATTTGGCAGCAATAAAAAGAAAGCAATCTAGGCAAAATCTGGCACAGATTTTTTTCCTTGATTGTATGACTCAGCCCTCCCCCAAACCGATTATAATCTAGTTTGTAAAAATAAAAAACTTTAGTAACTATGTTGTCTTTTTTAAAAAGTACATTCTTAACAGAGGCCTGTTTCAAGGATTTTTCTCTTAGTGAGTACCATCTACTGAAACAATGTTGCAATTGCAATTTTAGTAAACTTTAGAATTTGGAACACATCTTGCTATTGTTTCAAGTGTATGCTGCAAACACATACAATCCTTGAAAGCTAAAGTACCTTGATTTGAAATGCTAAAAATTCATAATGTGATTATTAAATTCAGCTCATCAAGAGAACATACCTTACTAGCAATACAGCGCCCTATATCAGTGAAGGGTTTATATTTTTTTGTCTACATCTGGGATTCCAGGGAGAACAAATATTAAAAGGTTTGATTAGATTATATTCAAAACAAAATATCTTTCTGTGTGATGTTCATTTCTTATCTTTTTTTGAAAGAAATTAAGCCATTTATTTATTCATCCCAAATATTTATTAGAAACTCACTATGTATCAGATAATGTGATTGGAGATAAACACTCATGATTCTAACCCTAGAAATTTACACCTTTATTACAATTGAGTGAAATGTTGTGTTTTTGTTGTTGTGTTTTTCTAATTTAAGTCTTGTTTATTTTTTCCCAATTTTTACACATACTTCTCTGTTCACCTCATGGATTAGACATTCAAATATATGGTAGTACAATGAATGATACCTTGTTTAGTCTCACTGAGTATTCTGTACTTGCAAAATATTTTTTTCACAACAAACAAACCCTACCACATTCCTAAAAGATAGTTGATACTTTGTAGTCTTTGCTTAACATATTGGGGGTGGGGTGGGGGTGGATTGAGCTAAACCCCTTAAAATGGAAATTATATTCCTTTTGTTCTTGTTAGGCACTGTTGGCTCAGGTCTGCCACTAGCAAACTATGTACAACAGAACAAACCACTGCCCAGTCCTGAGCCATCCTCACAATTGTTATGTCTGAACCATTATAGCCAATGTGTCAATCCATCTGGTTGATGGTCTTCCTCTTTTTTGCTGACCCCTCTCTTTACCAAGAATGACATCCTCCAAGGACTGGTCTCTCCTGATAACATGTTTAAAAGTATAAAAGATGAAATCTTACTATTCGTGATTCCAAGGAGCAATCCAGCTGTACTTCTAAGACATATTTTTTTAGTCTTCTGACAGTCCATTTTATATTCAGTATTCTTCTCCAATACCGTGCAATTCAAAGGCATCAGTTTGTCTATGGTTTTCCTTATTCATTATCTAACTTTTATATGCATGTAAGGCCACTAGCGTAGTGGTTTACGAGTCAGGCTACTAATCTCAAGGTCAGCAGTTTGAAACTACCAGCGGTTCTGTGGGAGGATGATGAGGCTTTCAGCTCCCGTAAAGATTTATAGCCACAGAAACCTTATATAGGGTCACTATGAGTCAGAACTGACTCCATGGCACATCACCACCACCACCACCACCAAGGTGCACCTTTGTCCTCTAAGGGATATCTTTACTCTCTAATACTTTAAAAGGTCATTTGCGTCAGATCTGCCCCAGTGCATTACTTCATTTGGTGTCTTGACTGCTGCTTCCTTGACTGTTGATTGTGGATCCAAGTAAAATGAAATATTGGACAATTTAAATCCTTTCTTCACTTATCATATTTTTATGAGTCTAATTATACTTTCCTTTTCTTTACATTGAGATGTAATTTATACTGAAGGCTGTAGACTTTGATATATACTCCATTGTTGTTGTTAAGAGCCACTGAGTCAGTTCTGACACACAGTGCCGCTGTATAGGGTTTCTGTGGTTGTAAATCTTTGCAAGAGCAGAAAGCCTCCCTCATCTTTCTCCCTCAGAATGGTTGGTGGGCTCACATCACCAATCTTGTGATTCATAGTAGTGTTCATACTATAGAGCTACCACACACCCATAGATTCTATTGGTATCAGTTCTGAATCATAGCCACCATGTATAGGGTTTTCCAGGAGCAGCTGGTAGATTTGCACTACGAACCTTGTGGTTAGCAAACCAATAGTTATCCTTTAGAGCCACACCAGGAGCTCTTTGACTAACTTTAATTCTCATTGTTGTTGTTAAGTGTCATCAAGTTGGTTATGACTCATAGCTATCCTGTATAAGATTTCCAAGTAGCAGCTGGTAGGGTTGAGCTTAAACTACTGACCTTTTAGTTAGCAGTCCAATACTTACTCTAGAGCACTACAGTCCTTCAAAAAACAGAAAAGCCGTGCCGAACAGGGTGTGTAATATTTGGGTGTTTTTCTAATAAGAAAGTGTGCTCTTTTATATTTCTGCTGCTTAAACATCTCTATTGTCTTCTGCATCTCAGGATAAAGTCTGTACATTGTATTGAGGGATGCAACCTCTTTCCTGTTTGAGATCCTGCACGTATCAATGACTTTGCACACTCCCTAGTTTCACTGGAGAACCCAGCCAAACCCAACCACCTGTACTTCTCAAAATACATCACGTTCTTTTTCACTTCTTACTTTATTTCATCAAATTCAATTTCTATCTGCAATTCACTTATGTGGAATTTTTACCAAATATGTCTGGACACATCCCTAGCATGATCATACCAACTGTGAATTTGTGTCTAGTCTGTGTTTATCCATGGACTCTGTGCAGACTCCCAGCATCACACATATTATGCTGATAACCTAATTTTCTGCTGTTAAGACCACCACAGAGTAATCTCGTAGAAACACAGCACTATATTTTTCATATAACCCCATTTGTAGCCTCAATTATTGCATATGCTATGTACTAAAATATACTTGTGGAATGAATGAATGTCTGTTGAGACCTAATGAGACCATTATTTTATTTTATTTTATTCTGTTTTTCAGAGTTCGTTTTCTAGCCAAGGAAAATGTAACTCAGGACCCTGAAACCCACACAGTGTCTTTTGTCCAGCCCAATAGTGCCATCTTTGAACCTTCACTATCAGTTGGAACAGAGAATGATAACTTCACAGTTCTCAATCTGGCTGTAGTAGTGAGTAGACAAACAACAAAACTAAACGTGTTTTTTAAAGAGTTTTGTTATTTTAAGTGCTATGGAGTTAGTTCTGACTTGTAGTGACCCTGTATAGGGTTTCCAAGGAGTGGCTGGTAAGTTTGAACTGACAACCTTGAGGCTCAAACCAACTTTGCAGTCCAGCGCATTAACCCACAATGCCACAAATAATTGATCATCAGTAGGACTATAGAGTTTATTTTGCCATTTTAAATGAAATGGCTTCTTATGCAGTTATTCTGAATGAATTTATGACCATTTGGAAATATGGCAAAATCATTTAATAACCAACTGAATTAAAAGGTCACAAAATGTAACATTTAAAAAAAGGAGTGGGGGTTGGGAAGTATTTATTTGGCTTTGTCTTCTTCATGTGATTGATCTTTGGTAGAGAAATATAATCATCTATGGTTTAGGCTGATTGAAATTTGAAATTTTAGTCCTGATCGGATTTGACAGTAATTTTAAAGACACACTTAAAACAATTCCTTATTAAACTCAATTTTAGCATTCATTCTATTTATTTGGTAAAATATGATATTGCATGTTGTTGGTAAATGCATAGGTGTTTTAAAAATTGACTTTTTTTTTTTTTTGGTAGGCTGCACCCCACATCTATCAAAATGCATTTGTTCAGACATTACTTAATTCGCTTATCAAAAAGTCAAAATCTGAAATGTTCCAAACCAGAACAGTGAAAGAGCTATTGTGGGGCTACAAGGATCCATTTCTGAGTTTGGTTCCCTATCCTATTAGTACTACAGTTGGTGTATTTTATCCTGTAAGTATAAAATACGAACAGTTATTCTTTATTACGTTTTAATTAGGTAAGTACAAGGCCTTTGGAAAAAAACAGTTTTCTAATTTAGTGTACTAATTCATTTGCTGATATAGGAAGATATCTCCTAATTTACAAAGTCCTCATGTCTCATGACTTCCACTTTCCTAGTTGGGAAAATTTACTGTTTTGAATTTAAAAATTAATTTTTAGATTAGCAAACTGATTTAAGTGGATTCTGGTCTGCCTTATATAAATATAAACTTTGTTTAAAATAAATTTTTATAAGCTATTGCTGGTTTTAATTTCTCTTTTCATAAAATCAAGGTTCAATACCAACTTTTAATAAGTGTTAATGTATTAATGGTATCATTCTTTTTTTCAAGGCCTCTTATAAATATGGTGCAACTTAAAACACTTGCCTAAATTTTCAGATCTTAATCAGATTTTTAAGACAGTCTCCCCTATTTTAATAGAGATTGTGAATAAGAACTTGAAGTGGTCCACAAATGCCATGAAATGGTAACTTGAGGATTAAAGAAAAAGTGAATTTATTTTTTTTTTTTAATGTTCTAAATTAAAAACAGTATAAGATGGCTATTGAATTGGAATTTTTAACTCTGGGTAATGTATATGAGGTTAGCTATATGCTCCTGTGTTGCGTCTGACAGCCGGTTATTCCCAGCAACCCACACAGAGAAATTAAACGCCAGTACCGGAGACAGGAAGGAGCTCTGGTAGCGTAGTGCTGCGAATCGGGCTGCGAACCGTAGGGTCAGCAGTTCGAAACTACCAGCTGTTCCACAGGAGAAAGAATGAGGCTTTCTGCTCCTGTAAAGATTTACAACCTCGTAAACCCTGTACAGGGTCGCTATGGGTCGGAATCGACTCCATGGCACTTAACAACAACACTGGAAGACAAGAAATATAAAGGAAGACATAAGACATAAATGAAAATAGTAAAGTTAGGACCAGGTGGGAAACAGCACTCTGATGGCGACACTGTGACTCAGACCTAGATTCAGCACGTTTATTATATACACAAATCAAAGGACAGTGCTGGAGAGTGCTGGGGAAGGAAAAGAGTGAAGAAAACATCTGTTGTTACTGATGCAAGTAGTACGCAGGACTTTATCAGGACAATGTAACTTGTGGTTGCTAAGGAGACAGAGATAGTGCAGTTAGATGTTTTTGCAGACTAAACTGAAGGTCTTGGCTGCACACAAGGAAAGACTTTGCAGATTTCTTGTTCCCTGAGGCGGGCTTTGCAAGTTCCTCAAGGGGGCAGCCTGACCTGGGAGCAGCCTACTTTTCTGGACCACAACTCAGTTGCAATTCTTCCGTTAAACTGCCCCCAAGTCTGAGACCTTCGGTTTAGTTGCTCCCAACACTCCTTCCTGTTCATTGTTGTTTTGTTTTTACATAGTGCTATGGTTTAGGATCAGAACTGGACTGTGAACCGCAAGGTCAGCAGTTTAAACTCACTAGCTTCTCCTCAGAAACCTTATCCAGGGTCACTATGAGTCAGAACCAACTCAAGGGTACTTTACAACAATAAGGGTTTTCAAGGTTATTTGCATTTAAATTTAGATGCAGACATTTTGAAAGGACCAGAGATTCAGTTATTATGATTATTGTTTTAACTGAATTATTCATTAATTCTTTCCTTGGTTTGGCTAATTTTGTGTATTTAACCTTGTATACTTCATCTCTTTCATTTTGTTGTTGTTAAGTGCCATCTCTAGTCAGTTACAACTCACAGTGACCCTGGACAAGATTTCCAAGGAGGTGCTGGTGGTTTAAACCACTGATGTTTTTGTTAGCAATCTAGTGAGTGCTGGTCCTTCAGAGTTAACCAGGACTCCACAGTTCATTTTAGTAGCCACTTATTAAAGATCATGATGTTGACAACACTTCTAGAAATCATCATTCCCATAGATTTTCTTCAGTGTCCACTTAATTAATCTCAACAAGATAAAATTTTAAAACAAAATTTTATTGTTTCTCTTTTTCTTGTTTTTGTTGTTCATTGACTTCGAGTCCGTTACAACTCAAAAGGACCTTATGTGAGGTTTACAAGGAGGGGCTGGTGGGTTGGAACTGCCAACCTTGAGGTAAACAGTCCAGTGTTTATCCTATAGCACAACACAGTACTCTTAGCATCAAGCATTTGTTTTTGTTGGTGGTGGTAAAGGGCATCAAGTCAGTTGCAACTCAACTGAGCCCTATATAGGGTTTCTGGGTAACAGCTGTTGAGTTTGAATCGCCAACCATGTGTTCAAACCGAACTTGTGGTCTCCTACACTATCCTTTAAAAGTTTTTAAACTATTAAATTTAAACCTTTGTCACGTATCTATTTCAAATCACACAATGACTACTGTTAAAAAAATGTGAAAGTGAATTACACATTTTATAACATGGTAAATGTACTTTTTTCTAGAAATAATTTTTGTTGTTCATATCGTTTCAGTACAATAATACTGCAGATGGAGTTTATAAAGTTTTTAATGGAAAAGATAACATAAGCAATGTTGCCATAATAGACACTTACAAAGGGAAAAAGTAAGTATCCAGGTAAATTGTATGTGTTTGTGTGTACCTATGTGTGTGGTATTCTTTTTACTTGGGGTGAAATGCAGGCACCAACCTGTGGAACAGACCTGGCAGTTTAGCAGTTTCCTGGAAATGTCTATCCTGTCATGTGTTAATACTCATGACAATTGTCAATGCCACATCAGTGTGTTCTGGCTGCTGAATATCAATCCCATTTTAGGGTTTGCTTTACCTTTTATGCATGGTTTCTTTAAAAAAAAAGAAATTCAAAGTAACCATTCCCAGGTCCACTGTATATCCAGTATGTACACATCACACATACCAGTATATATTATAAATGAAAAGCAAAACACTTATATGAGTGCTTTGTATAATACATGTATTTTAATGACTTTTTAATTTGCTTTTTAAAAAAACTCAACCATATGAAATAAGCTTTGTGTATGTCATGACCTACAATATCTATAAAAATGAACCTTACTGGATCTATGCAATTCTCATGACATTTTCCCTGCTAAACTATATTGAGATATATTTTTATATTACTAACTCAGCTTTTTAACATTCATCAATACAAAAATGCAATTATTACCTCAATGCATTTTTAAACCTTACATATTAACTTATAAATAGAGCTAATGTCTCCTTTGAAGTAATAAAATAATGAGCTGTCTTCATATATTCATGATTTCCATTCTTTTTGAAGTTCTAGTCTAGAGGACAAATAATTTAGCATGAAGTACAAGGCACCACAGTGGGGAATGACACCTTTTCTTATCCTTACACTTAATAAGTGTATTTGAGACTAGTTATTTTTCTGAAAAAAGAAGGAAGTGATAAAAACTTATAAAGATGGAATAAAAATGGAACAAGATGTTTCATTCATATAAATAATCATAGGCACAGCCTTACCTATTATCTAAAAAAATCCTTTTTTTAATATCAGTAAAATATTTTCAAATTAGAATTTTTTATTCTGGAATCCACAATTGCATTATGTCTATTTACAAAAACAGGAGAAAGCCTAACACTTCTAAATGCTCATTTTGATGAGAATCACACCTATGTTTGTTTATTAAGGAACAAACGGTGGTCAGTTCACCCTGTTTCCATATTACACAGACGTTTTGAGGATAATGGCTAAAAGTCCTAATTATAATGAGAGTTTCACATCACTTTAAGATGATAAGCTAGATTTGACTGATTGTGACCAGACAGAACATAATTAAGAAGTTATTTTGTTTTGAAAAGTAGCAGCAATCGCAGTATCTTGGGTTGACACTTAACTGGATGTGAGCAACAGGAAAACTAGTTTTTACATTGTTAAAAAGGTGCTAAAGCTACAGGAAAACAATTACTACTAATGGCGTTATTACTTCCAGATATGGATGGCTGATCTGCACACCAGAATATCAATTAATGAACTCTGTTCTATTTAAATGCCTGTTCATGAAAGAAGTAAAAGGGAAAAAAGTATAAATTGTTTATCTAAATGTTTCTAATCTATATTCATCTAAACATCTGCTTCTTTTTCTCACCTTTTCCCTCTCATACTAGACTTATATTACTTGCCCACCTAATAAATACTTGCCTTCTATTCAGTCCAAATGCTCACCTGGTGGTGGTGGTGTGCCATGGAGTTGGTTCTGATTCATAGCCACTCTGCATAGGGTTTTCTGAAGCTGTAAATCTTTCCGAAAGCAGAAAGCCTCATCTTTCTCTCCCAGAACTGCTGGTAGTTTCAAACTGCTGACCTTGAGGTTAACAGCCCAACTCAAAACTGCTATGCTATCAAATGGTCACTTACTACCAAATAATTCATTTCTCTCACTGGAAAATAAAACTCCTTAAGTAGATATCTGCCACCACTCGTCTGTCAGTTGGTAGTACTGTGGTGGCTTGTGAGTTGCTGTGATTCTGGAAGCTATCTCACAGGTATTTTAAATACCAGCAGGGTCACCCATGGTGGACAGGTTTCAGATGAGCTTCCAGATGAAGACAGACTAGGAAGAAAGAGTGACGAACTACTTCTGAATATTTAGTCACCGAAAACCTTATGAATAGCAGAGAAACACTGTCAGATATAGTGCTGGAAAATGAGCCCTTCAGGTTGGAAGGCACTCAAAATGAGACTAGGAAGAGCTGCCTTCTCAAAGTAGAGTTGACCATGATAACACAAATGGAGTAAAACCCATGGAACCTTCATTTACTGATGGGGCACAACTCAAAATGAAGAGAAGCAGATGTAAACATTAATTAATAATCGGAACATAACAAAGTATGAAACTAGGAAAATTGGACATTTCCAAAAATGAAATGGAATTCATATACATCGATATCTTAGTCATTAGTGAATGGAAATGGACTGGTATTGGACATTTGAACCTGACAACCACATGGTTTACTATGCCGGCAATGACTAATTAAGAGGAATGCTGTTGCATTCATTGTCAAAAAGAACATATCCAGATCAGTCATGAGATACAATGCTGTCTGTGATAAGATAATATCATCATGTAATACCACTATTATTCGAATTTATGCACCAACCACTAAAGCCAGTGAGTATGAAATAAAAGAATTCTACCAACTTCTTCAATCTGAAATTGATCAAACATGCAATCAAGATGTATTGATCATTCCTGGTAATTGGAATACAAAGGTTGTAAACAAAGAGGAAGGATCAGTAGTTGGAAAATATGGCCTTTGTGATAGAAATGATGCTGGAGATCGCATGATAGAATTCTACAAAATCAACGATTTGTTCATTTCAAATACCTTCATTAGACAACATAAGAGACGACTATACACATGGACCTCACCAGATGCACGACATAGAAATCAAATTGACTACATCTGCTGAAGGAGAAGATGGAAAAGCTCCATATCATTAGTCAAAACAAGGCCAGGGGCAGACTGTGGAACAGACCATCAATTGCTCATATGCAAATTCAGACTGAAGCTGAAGAAAATGAAAACAAGTCCATGAGAGCCAAAATATGACCTTCAATATATCCCGCCTGAATTTAGAGATAATCTGAGGAACAGATTTGATACATTAAACACCAAACACTGAAGACCAGAAGAGTTGTGGGATGACATCAAGAAAACATCATACATGAAGAAAGCAAAAAGTCATTAAGAAGAGAAGAAAGAAGGAAAAGGTCAAAATGGATGTCAGAAGAGACACTGAAACTTGCTCCCAGTGTAGACATGCTAAAGGAAATGGAAGAAATGAGGAGGTACAAGAGCTGAACAGAAAATTTCAAAGGTCAGCTCGAGAACACAAAGTTAAATATTACAAGAAAATGTGTAAAGATCTGGAGTCAGAAAACCAAAAAGGAAGAACATGTTCAGCATTTCTCAAGCTGGGGGAACTGAAGAAAAAAATTCAAGCCTTGACATTTCTTATTGAAGGATTCTCTGGGAAAATTATTGAATGATGCAGAAAGCATCAAGAGAAGATGGAAGGAATACACAGAGTCACTGTACCAAAAATAAATGGTTAATGTTCAACCACTTCAAGAGGTAGCATATGATCAAGAGCCAATGATCCTGAAGGAAGAAGTCCAAGGTACATTAAAGGAATCGGTAAAGAACAAGGCACCAGGAATTGACGGAATAAAATTTTAAATATTTCAAGACAGTAAGGTGGCACAGGAGGCACTCACTCATCTCTGCTAAGAAATTTGGAAGACAACTATCTGGCCAACTGATTGGAAGAGATCTGTATTTGTGCCCATTCCAAAGAGAGGTGACCCAATGGGATGCAGAAATCATCGGAAAATATCTTTGATATCCCTTGCGAGTAAAGTTTTACTAAAGGTAATAAAAAAATGGTTGCAAGCATATATTGACAGATAACTTCCAGTGGTTCAAGTTGGATTTAGAAGAGGATGTGGTATGAGGGATATCATTGCTAATATCTGATGGGTCTTGGCTGAAAACAGACAATACCAAAAAAGTATTTACCTGTGCTTTATTGACTACACAAAGGCTTTCGAATGTGTGGATCTTGAAAAGCTATGGACAACATTGAGACGTATGAGTATTCTGGACACTTACTTTGTTCATGAGGAATCTGTCATGGACCAAGGGGCAATTGTTTCAACAGAACACTGAATAGTTTAATAAGAACACTGACTAGTTTAAAGTTAAGAAAGGTGTGCAACAGGGTTATATTCTTTCACCATACTCATTCAAACATATGCTGAGCAAATAATCTGAGAAGCTGGGTTCTATGAAGGAAAGTGTGGCATCTGGATTGAAGGAAGACTCATTAACAGCCTGCAATATGCAGATGATACAACTGTGCTTGCTGAAAGTAAAGAGGACTTCAAACATTTACTGATGAAGATCAAAGAGCATAGCCTTTGGTATGGATTGCATCTCAATGTAAAGAAACCAAAAATTCTTACCACTGGACCATAAACAACATTCTTATCAGTGGAGAAAAGATTGAAGTTGTCAAGGGCTTCATTCTTCTTGGATGGACCATCAACACTAATGGAAACGGCAGTCAAGAAATCAAATTACATATTGCATTAGCTGCATTGTTGTTTTTGTTATGTGCTGTGGATTCGGTTCCGACTCATAGAGACCCTGTACAGTGTTTCCAAGACTGTAAATCTTTATGGGAGCAGAAAGCCTTTTCTTTCTCCCACGGAACAGTTGGTAGTTTTGAATTGCTGACCTTGCGGTTTGCAGCCCGATTTGTAACCACTACACTACCAAGGCTCCTTAGGTGAGAGTAATACTTAGGTGAGAATAATACTGGCTATGATCAATAAGGCTGTTGGTCAAATCATCTGGGCCATGATTCTCAGTCATGTAGCAGTTATTTAATAATATAACTTATTAATAACATTACTTATACTTATATAATGGAGTAGTCATCCTTCATTTTGTGATCTGATGAAGTCATTCTCCATTTTTGTATAATGCCAATTTTCATGTAATGCCTAGTTTTTGGAAACTAACCATGTTGTTAATTGAGATGTAGTTGTACATCAAGTCAGTGCATGACCCTTTAAATAAACTGCTTGAAATTGAAAACAAATGGCTTACACTAGAACCAAAATTAAAAATATATGTGTAAATGTTGTCCCCATAACTTCCTTTACTATGAATTGTTTAATTTTTGTCTTCAGGATTTTTATATAATAAATATATCTTTATTATCTAATAATTGTATAATATCTGGGATTTTACAGCTTGTCTTATGGAAGGGAATTACAGTGTTCAGTCATAAATGGACTGGGTCTTCCATTACCATCCTCTTTGGGCCCTTGTTACAAAATCAACTAACTTTGTCTTTAAACTCATATGGTTGTTACACTTTGTTAGTGC